AGTTTGAGTAGGAAAAGCCTGGGGCGGAACCATCGACCATATGGGAGTAGTTGACCTTAAATCCCATGCCATGCCATGCTGTGCCGTGCTGTCCCATCCCATCTCGTCCTGTCCTATCCCATCCCATGGATCCCATCCCATGGATCCCATTCCACGGATCCCATCCCATCCTATGGATTCTATCCCATCCCATGGATCTCATCCCATGGATCCCAACCCATGGACCCCATCCCATGAATCCCATGAATCTCATGAATCCCATCCCATCCCATCCCATCCCATCCCATGAATCCCATCCCATCCCGTCCCATGGATCCCATCCCATCCCATGGATCCCATCCATAGGTCCCATAGATCCCATCCCATCCCACTGATCCTATCCCATCCCATAGATCCCATCCCACCCCACCACGGGCAGGGACACCTCCCACAATCCCAGCTCTCTCCAAGCTGCCCTCGGACACTCCCAGGGACAGAGCAGCCCCAGCCAGAACCTCTCAGGGAGTTACAATTCCACGCTGTTTTGGCATATCCAGTTCCCCCGTTCCCCCTGCACATGCCCTGGCCCGGTGGGCAGATCCCGGGTCACTCACTCTCGGAGCAGGACACGCCGGCCCCGAAGCGCCCCCCTCCCCTGGGGCAGGACACGTGGGCCCCGTCGTGCCGGCAGTGCGACAGCGACATCTCTGTCCCCGAGCACTTCACCCCGCTCATCACCACGTCGTCGGCGCTGACGTCCCCGTGCCAGTACCACGTTTCCTGGCAAAAAAAAATGGCAGGAAATGGTGTTTCACACATTCCTTGGGGTTTAGGGGCTCTTAGGGGGATATTAACCTGCCTGAAGTGGGGATTCTCCCATCAGGGAAGATCAGGGCAAGATCCCACATTATCCATCAAAGGATGCTGGAACAGGGGACTCTGGGAAGCTGAAGTTTTGTCACCAAATCCTTAAAAACCTTGAATCCCATCCAGTCCCACCCCATGCCATGGAGAGGGACACCTCTCACTATCCCAGGTAGTTTAAACCTGGTTTTGGGCACTTCCAGGGATCCAGGGGCAGCCACAGCTTCTCTGGGAATTTCATCCCAGAACCTCACCGCTGTTCCAGGGGAGAATTTATTCTCAATATCCCATCTAACTCTGTCCTCTGACAGTGGGGAATTTATTCTCAATATCCCATCTAACTCTGTCTTCTGGCAATGGGGAATTTATTCTCAATATCCCATCTAACTCTGTCCTTTGTCAGTGGGGAATTCATTCCCAATATCCCATCTAACTCTGGCAGTGGGGAATTTATTCTCAATATCCCATCAAACTCAGTCCTCTGGCAATGGGAAGTCATTCCCCCTTGTCCCACCATTCCAGTTCCTGATGAAACTTCCTCTCCTCATCTCCCAGTTTTACCAAACTCATGGGAATGACACAACATCAACTCCCAAACCCCAGAACGTGGGAGAAGGGGAGGGGAGAAAGAATCTAAAAACACCCTTTGAGATCTGTCCGTGCCCGAGCTGGGAGCAGTTTCCAGGAGCAGAAACCCCCGGTGTCCCCCGGCTCCCGTTGCCCCCGGCTGTTTGGGAAGGCTGGGAGCACACAGGGCTGCCCTGTTCTCCACACTGGGGCTTTATGCTCCAGAGCTGGGGCAGCATAAGAGCCTTTTCTGTTCCAAATTCCAGCAGCCTCAGCTCAGGGAAAAAAATGCCTTTTCCTCGCTGGACTCCCAGGGCTGTGTCAACAGAGGCAGGCAGTCGGAAAGGCCACGCTCAGGGATGTGGAAATCCTCAGTTCCCGGGGTTTGATGGGGGGACATCAGCTGGAGGAAGCAGTTGGAGCAGGGAATGGCTCCAGCAGCACGTGGGCAGCTCCAGCCTCCTTCCTGCTGGGTGTCCCAGCCCTGAGTGTCCCCTGAGGACCTGCAGATCCCTCCCTGGCCGTGGAGAATGGCTGGGATCCGTCCATGAGCCCAGGGTGGCAGAGGTCATGGAATGGTTTGGATTGCTCATCCCATGGGCAGGGACATTTTCCACCAGCCCAGCTCGCTCCAAGCCCTGTCCATCCTGGCCTGGGACGCTCCCAGGGTGGGGCAGGACTGAGGGGTCACTCCTGGCCATGCAGAAGCAAGGAATACCAACAATTCATGGAGCTGCACCAGAGCAACTCCAGGAGCAAAATTCCATTTTTGCAGGAGACCTGACCCCAGTTTGAACCTGACCTCTGCATTTCAGGGAGGGACAAGAACCTGCATGCAGCCTCCAGCCCAAGGAGGGATTGGTGAATGTCAGGAAACCTGAGCTGTGAGCAAACAACAGAGAACTCAAGAAGCGTTAATAATCCCAATAATTTGGAATTATCACGAAATCCTTAAAAATCTTAAAAGTCATCTAGTCCCACCCAGGCAGGGACACCTCCCACTATCCCAGCTTGCTCCAAGCCCTGTCCAATCTGACCTTGGACATTTCCAGGGATGGGGCAGCCACAGCTCCTATAGAGAATCCATTCCAGCCCCTCCCCAGCCTCCCAGGGAAGGATTTCTCCTGAATATCCGATCTAATCCTACTCTGAGTTTGAGCAGGAAAAGCCTGGGGGGGAACAATTCACCATAGGGGAATATGGACCTTAAATCCCACCCCATCCCATCCCATCCCATCCCATCCCATCCCATCCCATCCCATTCCACCCCTGCCATGGGCAGGGACATCTTCCACTATCCCAGGGTGCTCCAAGATGGCCTGGGACACTCCCAGGGTGGGGCAGGACTGAGGGGTCACTCCTGGCCATGCAAAAGCAGGGAGGGTTTGGGGCAGGGAGGAGCAGGGAATACCAACAATTCATGGAGCTGCACCAGAGCAACTCCAGGAGCAAAATTCCATTTTTCCAGGAGACCTGACCCCAGTTTGAACCTGACCTCTGCATTTCAGGGAGGGACAAGAACCTGCATGCAGCCTCCAGCCCAAGGAGGGATTGGTGAATGGCAGGAAACCTGAGCTGTGAGCAAACAACAGAGAACTCAGGGAAGTAGAATGTTTATCACCAAATCCTTAAAAATCTTAAAACTCATCCAGTCCCACCTGGGCAGGGACACCTCCCACTATCCCAGGTTGCTCCAAGCTGGCCTTGGACACTTCCATGGATGGGACAATCACAGGTCCTCTGGGAATTCCTCACCACAGAGCCAGGGCAGAATTTATTCCCAGTATTCCATCCAACCCTGCCCTCTGGCAGGAGGAAGCCATTCCCTCTTATCCCATCATTCCAGCTCCTGATGAATTCCTTCACTTTTTATCCTCCACAACTCCATCTATTCCAAGTCCCTACCTCCATGTAGGTGTTGTACAAGGAGATTTTACTCTCGGGGTCTTTCCAGCTCCAACCTTGGAGCTCCTTTTGGAATGACCCTTCCTCCTCCTCCTCCTCCTCCAGCACCCTCAGCCCACCCATCCAGATGTGAGGCCCAGGCAGGGGCTGGGTTAGGGTTGGGGTTAGGGTTGGGGTTAGGGTTAGGGTTAAGGTTAGGGTGAGGGTTAAGGTTAGAGTTGGGGTTAAGGTTAAGGTTAAGGTTAAGGTTAAGGTTAAGGTTTGAGTTAGGGTTAGGGTTAGGTTTGGGGTTAAGGTTAGGGTTAGGGTGGGACAGGTCTCACCTGGAAGGTGTGGCTGGGTTAGGGTTAAGTTTAGGGTTAGGTTTAGGGGTGGGACAGGGCTCACCTGGAAGGTGTGGCTGGGTTAGGGTTGGGGTTAGGGGTTGGGGTTAAGTTTAGGGTTAGGGTTAGAGGTGGGACAGGGCTCACCTGGAAGGTGTGGCTGGGTTAGGGGTTCGGGTTAAGTTTAGGGTTAGGTTTAGGGTGGGACAGGGCTCACCTGGAAGGTGTGGCTGGGTTAGGGTTAGGGGTTAGGGTTAAGTTTAGGGTTAGGTTTAGGGTGGGACAGGGCTCACCTGGAAGGTGTGGCTGGGTTAGGGTTAGGGGTTAGGGTTAAGTTTAGGGTTAGGTTTAGGGTGGGACAGGGCTCACCTGGAAGGTGTGGCTGGGTTAGGGGTTCGGGTTAAGTTTAGGGTTAGGTTTAGGGTGGGACAGGGCTCACCTGGAAGGCGTGGCTGGGTTAGGGTTAGGGGTTAGGGTTAAGTTTAGGGTTAGGTTTAGGGTGGGACAGGGCTCACCTGGAAGGCGTGGCTGGCGAAGCCCAGCCCCAGCTGCCTGCACACCACCATGGCCTCCACGGTGCCCCAGTTGTGGCTGCAGACCGTGCCCCACCTCAGGGTCCCGTTGCGCTCGGCCAGCACCTCCACGCGCCCCTCGTAGGGGTTGCGGCCCCCGCTCAGGCGAAGCTGCAGGACAGAAACCCCTCAATCCACTGAAAACATCCAAGGGAAGGGGAAACAGTTGGGGAAGAAGATTTTCTTTCCACAGAATTTTGGAATTATTGGATGTCCCCAGCTGGAAGTGACCTGGGTGCTGCACAGCAGAAAATTCCCCCTTTAACACGGACCTGGAGAAACCCTGGTGAGGGATTTCCCTCCCACAGGGGGAATTCTGTCAAAAAGCAGAGCTGTGGGCATTGACCTCTAGGGATTCACAGATTATGACTTTTTGGCTGGGTCTTTGTGCTGGAATCTGCTTCCAGTCAAGGCCTGGCATTCCTGACATAGAACTGGGACGTTGACACGTTGGCTGTGAATGAAACATCCACAGGGTGGATGAGGAGTCAGGAAAAGATGAACACATTCCCAAATCTTTCATAGGAAAAATGACTCAGGGCATTCTGGCTGTGCAGCACCATGTTCCATCTTTGTGTGGGATCAGGAGGGGCTCCCCAAGGGAAAGGCACTGGGAACCATCCAGGGATGGAGCAGCACTGGGATCTCCTGTGGGTTTGAGCTCAGGGAGTTCAGCTCTTCTCCCAGTTCAGTTCTTCTCCCACTTTGGCAGGGGATGGTTCAGCCAAGCCTGGCAGTTCAATGGGTTGGACCAGCAGCAGAATTCCCTGGGAAATCTTCCCTTCCCTGCTCCTTTAGACCTTTGGGAGGAGCACTCAGAGGAATCCGTGTCTGGTTCACGCAGTTACCACAGAATCATGGAATGGTTGTGTAGGAAAAGGTTAAAAATTGGGTTAAAAATCATCCAGTGCCACCCTCCACCATGGGCAGGGACCTTCCACCATCCCAGGTTGCTCCAAGCCCCTTCCAACCTGGCCTTCCTCATTTTCAGGATTCTGAGACTGTCGCCATGATATTTTATGAAAAATACCTTTGCCAGGATTTTTCTCCTGAGAAGCTGAGAAGCCTCAGAGGAAAAGAAAAACATTGGTTATCTGCTGCTGTGGAATGCCACAGGTGCATCTTTGATTGGTCTCATGGGGTTGCTTTTAATTAATGGCCAGTCACAGTCCAGTTGTTAATTAATTAAAAACAATAATTATCTGCTGCTGTGGAATGCCACAGGTGCATCTTTGGCTGCTCTCATGGGGTTGTTTTTAATTGATGGCCAATCACAGTCCAGCTGTTTCGGACTCTCTGGCCAGTCACAAGATTTTATTATCATTCCATTCCTTTCCTTGCAAGCCTTTTGATTAAATCTTTTCTTCTATTCTTTTAGTATAGTTTTAATATATAATTTTCTTTTAATTTAATATATATTATAAAATAATAAATCAGCCTTCTGAAACATGAAGTCAAGATTCTCATCTCTTCCCTCGTCCTGGGACCCCTGCACACCACCACATGAGACGAGTCCAGGGGAGCTCAAAACCCACATAAAATGGGACACTCATCCTCATTTCCCCTCCTTTTTTAGGTAAAACCTGAATTAAATACTCACGGCTCGGGTGAAATGATTCCTGCCTAAAATTCCACCCAAAATTCCCTCCCACCTGGGTCCCTCAGCTCCTCACCTGGTTCTGGAAGCCCATGGCTGGCACATTGCACCTCACAGCAGCATCCTCCTCGTGGTTGCAGCCCTGGGACTCGGTGTTGAACTTGCAGTCCGTGACCGACTTCTCAAAGCCCGTGCAGTCGATCTCGTTCAGGTGGATGGGACCCATTCCTTGGGGAAAAAACAGGGAAAAAAGTCCTTTTGTGTGGTGAGGGAACACCCCAGCAGGTTGTGAACGCCACAGTGACCTCCAGCATGCAAAACTTGGAAAAAAATCCACTGATTTTTTTGTAAAAATAAAGCAAAAATCTGTGAAGTTATTGTTATAATTTCACTGTTAAATTCTTTCCAGTATTCTCTGCGACTCAAGCATGCAAGAATCCCAGGAAAAACCAAGTTTCCACTGTTTCATAATTTACAAACTTCACAAATTGTGACCTTTTGGCTGGGTCTTTGTGCTGGAATCTGCTTCCAGTCAAGGCCTGACATTCCTGACACAGAACTGGGACGTTGACACGTTGGCTGTGAATGAAACATCCGCAGGGTGGATGAGGAGTCAGGAAAAGAAATCTGGGGCAGGTCGAGGATTCCAGCACTGAGGGAAACAGCAGAGAACAGCTGCAGAGAATGGGCTCGAGGTGCTGGCAGAAGAATGGAATAATTTGGGTCTTCTCGGGATAAGCAGCAGCAGAAAATTGGAATTTCCATCAGAAAAGCAAGGAAGGGAATGATCCTCCTGCAAAACTCAGCTCCTGCTTCCAAAACTGGTTAGAAAGAACAACAAGGCAGAGATGTGAATGTGTTTGGTTTAATTTCACCCACAGTTTATTAATGGGGTTTGGGCAGCTTGGCCAGCCCTGTGTCCAGCCCTCACACCACAGCTGGGCAGGGTGGGAGGACATTCCTGGGGAGGCTGCTGGGAATGGGAATCTTGTCCCTTTTTTTGCCTCTCTCTCATTAAAATCCCGTTTGTGGTTCCCATGTGGAGCTGGCAGCAGTTCCCAGTGATTCTGCAGCCCCCAAAGGGCTGAGGGGGAGCAAAGCCCTGACCAGAACTGGAGGGAGAAGCTCCAGGAACGCAGGAGGGAGCCAGGCCAACATTCCCAGCCTGGCAAAGTGTTGGGAATCCGGCTGGCTAAAGACTGGAAAAGTACAAAACCGTGGCTAATTCCAAGTTTTGCATCTGCTAGATAGTGTGTCCTTGGGCCTAGCTGTAGTAGGATAACAAATAGTGAAAGAGACATGAGAAAAGAGAGATGTAACCCCTAAGGAATGAGGAAGAGTTCATGGTATAGTTTAGCCAATAGATTGCTTGGCTTACAGAATATTCATAAGCTTATGATTTGCTGTATAAGTGTTTGATGCTTTCTTTAATAAACTGGATCTGTGATGAACCAGCTGGTGTCCTGGTCCCCTTCCTACGACAGCAAAGCCATTCCAGTGGGATGAGAACGATGGCAAAGATGACAAAGGACAAGGGCAGGGCCTCTCTGAGCCAGAGAACCCTGGCAGGGCTGCTCTCCTTGGGGAAATTATGGCACATGGGGGCACAGAAATGGAGCCAAACGCTGAAATGTGGGGAGGAAAATTGTATTTCCTCCCATGCCATTGCACTTAGAAAACCCCAGGATTAGGCCTGTCCATCCAACATTTGCCCTCACCTACTCCTTGGAGTTTAATTCCATGTTCTCCCTCCCAGGATATCAACACATCCATGTGTCACTGTCACATTTTCTGAAAAATCTCTTTGCCCAAGATTCTTCTCCTGGGAAGCTGAGAAGCCTCAAAAAATTAAAACAATAATTATCTGATTTGCTTCTCCTGTGTTTTGCTGCTTTGAAACATGGTTGGACATTGTTTATCCAACATGTGAATTGTTTTCATTTAAGGACTAATCATGGTCAGGCTGTGTCGGGACTCTGGAAGGAGTCACGAGTTTTTCTTTATTATCTTTTAGCCTTCTGTCTGGATCTTTTCTGTATTCTTTAGTGTAATTTAGTATAGTATTCTTTAATATAATACAGATCATAGAATAATAAACAAACCTTCTAAAAACATGGATTCAGATGCATCATTCCTCCCTTCAATGGGAGTCTCTGAAAATACCACATCCATGAGCTCTGGGCTCAGTGTCTCCTTTTGTGGAAATAAGGGTGAATTGTTTAATGTGGGTCTATGAAAGGTGGATAAATCCTTCTCCCACACCCTGAGCTCTGTGGAAGGCACTGCTCTCCCACTTTGCCTTAACTTTCTCCTTCTCCAGGCAGCACTGACAGAACCAGAGGACACAGTCTCAAAGCTGAGCCGAAGGAAATACCATAGGTTGGATATTAGGAAAAAGTTTTTTATGGAAAGAGTGATAAAGAATGGAATAAATTCTGCAATGTTCTGCCCAGGGAGGTGGTGGAGTCACCATCCCTGGGTGTGTTTAACAAGGCCTGGATGTGGCACTGGGTGCCAGGGTTTGGTTGAGGTGTTGGGGCTGGGTTGGACTCGATGACCTTGAAGGTCTCTTCCAACCCAGTGATTCTGTGGTTCTGTAAATTCTGTGAATTCTGTGAACTGGGACTCCCAGTTCAGCCGCTGGGAGCTGATTTATCCTGTGAAATCCAGCCTCCCACACCCATGGTGAGGCTGCTCCTTCAAAGCACCCTCAGAAAACCCCAATTCCCTGGTGAGGCTGCTCCTTCAAAGCACCCTCAGAAAACCCCAATTCCCTGGGGTGCAGCTGGAACAGAATAAAGTGCAAACAGGGACACGGCGTGGAGAGCTTGGAGAGCTCCCTGAGCATCCACGGCCAGAAAAAAAAATCTCCTTTTCCAACCCAAACGTGACCCTGTGGCTGCTGGAGGGACATCACCCACCCCAAGGGACACTCCTGACAGGGAGCACTGATGGATGAGAGAAGGGAAAGAAAAAACCTGTTAAGGGAAGCGTGTGGGAAGGCAGAGGGAGATTCCAGGCTGTGGGACAGCGCGTTCCACGTTCTCCTCCCTCACGTGGCAGCCCCAGGATGATGGAGCTGTTTCCTACATCCCCTTAAACACATCAGCAAATTCCAGCCCGCCACAAAGAGGGTTTTTGGCAAATCCAGTGGATTTGGTCAAGTTTTAAAGCTTCCCAGACTCAGGACACCCACGTGTTTTTTCCTTCTGTCCCCTTCCCTAAGCTGAAGGAATTTCCCCCATTCCTTTATTCTCAATTTTTCCCCCCATTCCTTTAGTCTCAAAATTTCCCCCATTCCTTTCTTTTCTAACTTTCCCCCATTCCCTTCTTTTCTAATTTCCCCCATTCCATTAGTCTCAAAATTTCCCCCATTCCTTTCTTTTCAAATTTTCCCCCATTCCTTTAGTCTCAAAATTTCCCCCATTCCTTGATTCTCACAACAAAGTTTTGGTGTAAATTTTTTTGTTACTTTCACAACAAGGATTTGGTGTCTTTTTTTTGGTGATTATTCTCACAACAAGGGCTTGGTGTAATTTTTTTTTTAGTTACTCTCCCAAGGGTTTGGCGTCCTTTTTTTTGGTTATTCTCACCAGGTCATGGTGTCTTCTGTTTTGGTTTTTTTTTGTTTGTTTGTTTGTTTTTTTCTTTGGTTATTTTCACAACAAGGGTTTGGTTTAAATATTTAAATTTTTAATTTTTTTATTCTCACAACAAGAATTTTGTGTACTTTTAAAATTATTTTTTTTTCCACCCTGGGAACAGGGTGTGGGAATCACCAGGTGGTTTCAATTCACCTTTGACCACTTTTTGGGATTTAGACCAACTCCCAAAGACAGGAAATCCAAACCCAAACCTGGCTCTGAGCTGTTCAAATGCCCTTCTATTTATAATGAGCTAAATTACTGTCCTGCTCTTAAATTGGAGTGTTTGAAGTCTGGCTCCACGGCTCATTTTTTCCCAGGAACCTTCTAGTAATGCATTACATCATGGTGTGGTTCTGGAGAACTCAAAGGGAATTTCAGAGCAGCAGATGAGATAATTAAGAATTAATTACTGGAACAATGATGAGTTGTTAAGAATTAATTACTGGGATGCTGAGTTTGACCTTTTGCTCAGGAGCAGCTGCCTGAGCAAAAGGGCAAACTCATCATCCTCAGGCTTTTTTTTCAGGGAATCTTTTTAAGTCACAGAATTCCAGTCTGGCCCCAAGAGACTTATTAAGGTTAAGGAAGAAATTCCTGGTCCTCAAATTGAACATCCTGATGAAAATCCACTGTGCCCTGAATTATGGCATGTTCCTGGGGGTGGGACATTCCTTAATTCAGGGCACCAGTGAAAGGAATGAGGGATTTGTCTTTACAAACAAGCTGTGGGTCTGCTGATGAATAAAACTGGATACTGAGGGATGAAAGAAACAATGGGAGGAACCATAAATTCCATGGGAATTCCACTGATGGACACAAGGAAAAGATAAAGGGGGGATGCATTAGAAGGGGGTCTGGATTAGGGGATTTGGGAATTCTATGCCTCTCAAGTACCTCAGCCAATGGGAAATACGAGGGAGAAATCAGGATTAAAAGGAGTGTCAAATTATTGGAGGATGCAGAGACCCCATGGCCATTCCCTGTATTGGAATAAAGTGCCAGGACTCCTGTGTCTCCTTTTTTGGACATAAACCTCTGGTGTTTGATGGATGAAATTGGTGTTTGGGGATGAATTTGGTGTCTGGTTTTTGGGGATGAATTTGGTGTTTGGTGCTTGGGGATGAATTTAGTGTCTGGTGCTTGGGGATCAGTTTGGGGATGAATTTGGTGTTTGGTGGATGAATTTCGTGTCAGGTGTTTGGGGATGAATTTGGGGATGAATATGGTGTTTAGGGATGAATTTGGTGTCTGGTGTCTGGGGATGAACTCTCCTGAGCCCAGGGCTCCCTGGAGCTGTGTTGGAGCTCTCTGGAGCTGTGTTGGAGCTCCCAGGGGCTGTGTTGGATCTCCCTGGAGCTGTGGTGGAGCTCCCTGGAGCTGTGGTGGAGCTCCCTGGAGTGTGGTGGATCTCCCTGGAGCTGTGGTGAAGCTCCCTGGAGTGTGGTGGATCTCCCTGGAGCTGTGGTGAAGCTCCCTGGAGTGTGGTGGAGCTCCCTGGAGTGTGGTGGAGCTCCCTGGAGCTGTGGTGGAGCTCCTGGAGTGTGGTGGATCTCCCTGGAGTGTGGTGAAGCTCCCTGGAGTGTGGTGGATCTCCCTGGAGTGTGGTGAAGCTCCCTGGAGTGTGGTGGATCTCCCTGGAGCTGTGGTGGATCTCCCTGGAGCTGTGGTGGAGCTCCTGGAGTGTGGTGGATCTCCCTGGAGTGTGGTGGAGCTCACCTTGGCCCAGCCTGGCCCCCGTGATGGCCTCCTTGGCGCTGCCGAAGCCCAGCTCCCGGCACACCACGCTGGCCGACACCAGGTTCCAGTTGTCGTCGCACACCGTGCCCCACTCGCCGTTCTTCAGCACCTCCACGCGGCCTTCGCCCGTGTTGGCTCCTCCCTTGAGCCTCACCAGGGGCTGCTGCAAGACACAGACACAGGAGAGGTGACGCCCTTTGGGTTTGGCCTTTGTTGCAAATGCAAAATTCACAGAATTCACAGAATTTGCAGAATTCACAGAATCACAGAATCACAGAATCACTGGGTTGGAAGAGACCTTCAAGATCATCCAGTCCAACCCAACCCCAACACCTCAACTAAACCCAGTGCCACATCCAGGCTTGTTTTAAACACACCCAGGGATGGTGACTCCACCACCTCCCTAGGCAGGCCACATATTCATAAATATGTGTTGGGATCCATAAAATTAGAGGGTTTTTATCTATACCCCCTATAGATATGTACTCATCCTTGTGGGGGTGAGTTTTGTGCACATCTTTCCATAACTGCTCCTTGAAGGCCTTCAAATAAAGATTCTCTTTTATATTCCCCCTCACTAAAATTGTCTCAATTTTCCTTTCCAGGTTGGAAAAAGTGCAACAGTGGGGTCACTTCCAGCCTTTGCAGGGGTTATTTATGGAAATCTGGGCCTAAAAATTATCATAGAATCACTCAAGACACCTTAAAAAATCCATCACATAATTCCAATGCCTGAAAGTGCTGGATGAAAGGAGATTTTTATCTGCAAAGGTTTTGGTGAGCATGGATCTGTTTCTCACACCTCACGTGTGGGCAGAGAATAAAAAACCCGATCTCAGTTCTCTGCAGGTGCTTGGATTTAGGAACATTTTTCCATCCTGGAAAAGATGGAAAAAACCCCATTTCTCATATTCCTTGGGAGCCTTGCAGGAGGGTTGGGAACGGCCCTGAGCCCACCAGTGCCCAGCTCTCACCAATAATAATAGATAAGCAATATATAATAAATAATAATGAAAAAATAAATAAGAAATGAAAAGTGGAGTAAAAAATCCGACATTTGCAGTCAGAAATGCTCAGCTGAGTGGCAGCTCCAGTTTCTTTCATTTCTGGGTTTATAATATAGTTATATATAATTTAGTTAAATATAATTAATATATAATCTAGGTAAATATAATTTAGTTATTATCTGTTAATCACCCACTCCTCTCTCCAGTGCCAAGCAGGGAGCTGCCAATTCGTGCTGCACTCAAGGGCTGGATTGAGGTGGTGAGAGCAAAGCTTCATGTTTGGGAACACCAAAAATCCTTTGCTTTTCCAACTGGGATCATGCCTGGCTTAATCCAGAACCAACATTGAGCTCAAGCCCTAGAAAACTGGCCTGAGTGCTCAGCTCTGACCAGTAATAATATATAAACAATAAATAATAAATAATAATGAAAAAATAAATAAGAAATGAAAAGTGGAGTAAAAAGTCCGACATTTGCAGTCAGAAATGCCCAGCTGAGTGGCAGCTCCAGTTCCTCTCATTTCTGGGCTTATAATATAATATAGTCATATATAATTTAGTTAAATATAATTTATATATAATATAGTTAAATATAATTTAGTTATTATCTGTTAATTGCCCACTCCTCTCTCCAGTGCCAAGCAGGGAGCTGCCAATTCCTGCTGCACCCAAGGGCTGGATTGAGGTGGTGAGAGCAAAGCTTTCTGTTTGGGAACACCAAAAATCCTTTGCTTTTCCGACTGGGATTGTGCCTGGAGCTTTTTCTCCAGGCTGGGGTCACACCAAGGACGTGCAAAGCCCAAACAAAGGCTTAAGGAATTACTTGGCAGCGCGTGCGGCTCGGGAGATTAACAATGATTTACAAAACCTTTCACCTCCCGGGCCTAAATCCTGCAGGCTCTGCAGCAGGGAAGAGCCTGGGATCCAGGCAGGGATTGCATTATTCCCACCAATAATTATTCCCATTATTTTCCCATTACTGGCACCTGGGAAGAGCCCAAAGATCCCCCCAAAACCACCCAGGAACAGCCACAAAATCCAAATTTCACAAATCCACAAAATTCTCCAATGGAAACCTCCGAGATTCCCACTTTATCCCAAGGCTGCAGCTGGAAAATTTCTCCTGGCACCCACCTAGGCCGTGTTTGCTGCTGGTTAAGCTGTCCTCTCCTACCCCTGACACTGGGAACAACCAATTCCAGCCTTGTTTTCCAACATTTTTGCATCTCCTGAGGTTTTTACGCCCCGCTCAGCGCTCTCATCCTCACCAGACTAAACAAACCCGGCTTTCCAAGCTCTCTGTGTTTTCCCAGTCTCCCCCCAGGGCATTTCCTCGACGAGGACACGGAGGTGGAGGAAATGCCAGCTGATTTCCACAGGGTGATTCCAGCAGAATTCCAGAGCCTGTGGAACAGCACAGCCGGGCACGGGTTCAGCGGGCTCAGAGCAGCTCCAGCAGGAACGTGACCCAGGGATTCCCTCACTCCTCTCTCCCAGCTCTGCCAGCTGCCCTGGGAGCTGCTCTCCCACCCTTTGGAGGCGGGAGAGGGAGGGAAGAACCTGGAATTTGGGAGGGTGGGAGTTCAGCTGGGCGTGCAGGGAGGTGGGAATTGCAGAGAAGACGCTGCAGAGAGGACGTTGGTGGTGAATGTTTCACCCCCAGGTGTAACACCCTGGTGAATGTGGTGGTGAACATTACACCCCCAGGAGTTTCCTCCTCTAATGGGCAGCTGGGTGGGATATTGGGAAGAAATTCTTCCCTGTGAGGGTGGTGAGGGGCTGGCATGGAATTCCCAGAGAAGCTGTGGCTGCCCCATCCCTGGAAGTGTCACAGGCTGGGCTGGACAGGGCTTGGAGCACACTGGGACAGGGGAAGGTGTCCCTGCCCATGGCAGGGGTGGAATGGGATGGACTTTGAGGTCCCTTCCAACCCAAAAACCATCCCATAATTCTGTTTTCACATCTCTCAGCGGATGGCGGAGGAACAGCCCTGAACTCTGGGAATCTGCTGGGCAGGAAGGCCTGGAGGGACAAGACACAGGGAATGGCTTCCCACTGCCAGAGGGAAGGAATAGATGTGATTGTTAGGAAGGAATTCTTCTGTAGCACAGTGGTGAGGTCCTGGCATGGAGTTCCCAGAGCAGCTGTGGCTGTCCCTGGATCCCTGGAAGTGCCCAAGGCCAGGCTGGACAGGGTTTGGAGCACCCTGGGACAGTGGAGGTGTCCCTGCCCATGGCAGGGGTGGAATGGGATGGACTTTGAGGTCCCTTCCAACCCAAACCACCCCATAATTCTGTTTTCACATCTCTCAGTGGATGGTGCAGGAACAGCCCTGAACTCTGGGAATCTGCTGGGCAGGAAGGCCTGGAGGGACAAGACACAGACATGTTTTATGGAAAATCTTTCCTTAGGATTTTTCCTCCTGAGAAGCTGTGAGGCCTCAGGAACAAAATGTAAACCATGGTTATCTGCTGCTGTGGAATGCAACAGGTGCATCTGTGATTGGCCCATGTTGGTTGTTTCTAATTAATGGCCAATCACAGTCAGCTGGCTCAGACAGAGAGTCCGAGACACAAACCTTTGTTATCGTTCTTTCTTTTGCTATTCTTAGCCAGCCTTCTGATGAAATCCTTTCTTCCATTCTTTTAGTATAGTTTTAATATGATATATACAATAAAATAATAAATCAAGCCTTCTGAAACATGGAGTCAGATCCTCGTCTCTTCCCTCATCCTTGGATCCCTGTGAACACCATCACGGGACAGGACACAGGGAATGGCTTCCCCCTGCCAGGGGGAAGGGATAGATCAGATTTTGGGAAGGAATTCTTCCCTGGAACAGCAGTGAGGTTTTGAGATGGAATTCCCAGGGAAGCTGTGGCTGCTTCATCCCTGGAATGAGGGACGGGATAGATGAGATTTTGGGAAGGGATTCTTTCCTGGAACAGCAGCAAGCCCAGGGGATAGATGAGATATTGGGAAGGAATTCTTCCCTGGAACAGAGGTGAGGTTTTGAGATGGAATTCCCAGGGAAGCTGTGGCTGCCTCATCCCTGGAATGAAGGATGGGATAGATATTGGGAAGGAATTCTTCCCTGGAACAGAGGTGAGGTTTTGGGATGGAATTCCCAGGGAAGCTGTGGCTGCCTCATCCCTGGAATGAAGGATGGGATAGATATTGGGAAGGAATTCTTCCCTGGAACAGAGGTGAGGTTTTGGGATGGAATTCCCAGGGAAGCTGTGGCTGCCTCATCCCTGGAAGCGCCCAAGGCCAGGTTGGAACAAACCCAGCAGAAAGCATCCTGCCCATGGCTGGGGGTGGGATCAGATGATTTTTAAGGTTTTTCCAGCCCATTTTGGGGCTGCTCCCCGCTCACCTCCTGCCTGAAGGCCTTTCGGAAGCCGCTGTGGCTGCTGGGCGCGAAGGCGCGGCCGGGCACGCAGCTGACCACGGCAGGCATCCCGTTGTCACAGCTGCTGTTCTTCCCCGCGCCCGTCAGGTGGTTCCCCAGCTTGCAGCTGGAGATGTGGGCCTCGTTCCCGCTGCACTCCATGGAGTAAGCCCAGTAGTGCTGCTTCCTTCTGCTGGCAAACATCCTGAAAGGAGGTAAGGGGAAGGGGAGAAGTTAGGGATCTGCAAACAAATGGATTTTGCTAAATTTTGTGTTGAGGATTGCAATGCAAGATGTTTTCAATTACCATCTGTATGGCAGATTGCCTTTGTCAAGTGGGCAGTTTGCCTTATCTCTCTTTGAGTGACCACAATCACACCTCCCTGGGAGGGGACATCTGCTGATAAGAGGCCATTGAATGTCACTGCATGGCTGATAAGAACTACAGCATCCCATTGGGAGATGTGAGCCCAGAGGGAGGAGCCAAGCATTCCTGTCTGGATATAATCTGGAGATTCTGGAACACCAGCCAAGCATTCCTACCTGGATATAATCTGGGGATTCTGGAACACCAGCCAAGCATTCCTACCTGGATATAATCTGGAGATTCTGGAACACCAGCACGGCTTCTCCACTGGATTGCCCAGAGGAGCAGCAGCTGCCTCTGCCCCTGGATCTTCAGAGGAGACTCCACCCTTGTCCAGGATCCCTGCTCCAGCAGAACCAGCCCTGACACTGCAGGAGGGCTGAGCCACAATTCCAATGGGACTGCTGCCAACACCCTGACCCACAGGGTGTCAGGTTTGGTTCTGACTCTGTCAGTGTTGTTCTAGTGTACTGCATTGTTTATTTTATCCTTTATATTTTTTTTTCCCTGTTAAAGAACTGTTATTTCCTGCTCCCATATTTTTGCCTGAGAGCCTCTTAATTTAAAATTTATAGCAATTTGGAGGGGTGGGGAGGGTTTACATTCTCCATTTCAGGGGAGGCTCCTGCCTTCCTTAGCAGACTCCTGTCTTTCCAAACCAAGACATTTTGAGAGGAAAAATGCCCTAGGATGAAGTGAGATTGGACAGGATTATTTGGAGGCTGATTTGTGTCCCCTGTACAGGCTACAAGGAACAGGGAACAGGAAGCTTTGGTTCCACAGGTAAACCAGAAGTATATTGGGCCATAGACATCACAAGAGGTAAACCAGAAAAACAGGTAACCCTCACACATCCTAATGGTGATTCTATTACTAAGAAACTCACAATTGACACTGGAGCAGATGTAACCATCATTTCAAACGCAATATGGCCAAAACATTGTGCATCGGCTGAATATGGCCATTGTCTAACAAAAACTCCTCAATCTGCAAAAAACTCTCAACAGATCTGTTCATCCACACCATGACTCTGTTGAGGTGTCACTTAAGCTTGGAAAAGACTTCCAAGATCATCAAGTCCGACCACTTTAAAGGAAATAAATCCCTGCAAGAGCTAAAAAGTCTGAGCAGGAATCAAAGGTGCAGCTCCAGCAAATGACACATTCCCAGGAGTGCAGATCCCACCCAAGGCAGGGACAGGGATCAGCTAATTCCAAATGGACCAAGAGGATTTGTGCAGATAACTGGGCTGGAGAGCTCCCAGAAAAACCTTCTCCTTTTGCTGCCCAGCAGCTATCAGCTGGGATTGGGAAAAATCCAAAGCCTCTCCGAGTCTGTGTTAACAACCTGAGAGTAATTTCCGAGAGCACGAGCAATTCCCCTGCTGGCTTGTTCACAGCAGAGCAGCTTGGCAGCAGCTCCTGCTTCTCACTCCCAAACTTCCTGGAGCTGCTCCAGGCACTCCTGAGGAGGCAGGGGCACGTGTGATAAACTGGGAAGGGAAGGGATCCAGCTCCATCCTGACTGGGAGGCTGCTGGGGTGGAGAGGAATGGAAATGTGGGTCAGGTCGGGCTCAAAAAGGAATTAAAACCAGGGAAGGCTCAGGGGAGCCCACGCCCTGCCGGGATCTCCACGTGGCTCTGTGTGATCCCAGTGCTGCTCCTCATTCCAGGAGTCTCTGCCACGCAGAGCTGGGATGCAGGGATGAGCTGTGATAAATGGCACAGCAAGGTGGGTGGAATTTGGGGATGAAAACAGCAGTTGTGCTTTGCTGCAGCAGAGAGAGCCTGGGGAGCAGCTGAGAGGGGCAAAGAGCTTTTCTGAGGGGGCTTTGGGGACTCCACTGAGCAGGTCCAGCCTTTCCCAGGTTTTCCATTTAGGATTTAGGTTTTGAAGGGTCACGGATGTTTGAGGGGACACTTTTCTCCCCTGTGCTCACTGGGCTCTGCTGCCCAGCTCAGCATTTCTCCAGGCTCTCCTGGCTCCCAGCCTCTCACTAATCCTTCCTGAAACCCGATCTGCCTGGGGATGGATCCAGGCTGGAGAGGGAGCTGCAGCTGCATCCCATGATGCTGGAAAAGGATGAAGTAGGGCTGAGATCCATCCCAGGGAACAGCAGCAGGACCCTGCCTGACCTGTGGGGAGCAGGGGCTGTCAGAACCCACCTCTGGCACAGCAGAGCTGTCAGGGACTCCCTGAACCAAGAAAAAAGGGATGGGAAAACAGGAATAGAGTTAAAACTTAAAAAATAAACCCAGGGAGGATGCAATAAAAGCAGCCACTTCCCTGCCATGCTCAGGACAGAAGGGAAGACCTGAAGGAGGATTTTCATCCTTCACAGACAGGTCCAGAGAGCTCCATGAACTTCAGAGCAGACAAGAACCAGCCTGACTTAGGGAAGCAGGGCTGGGGATGCCTTAGAATAGCAAACAATGACCTCATCCTGGAAATTTCATGAGGCATCAACATCTGGATGGTATTAACAGCCCTCGGGAGGCTGGGGAGAAATAAAACCCCACCTCGTGTCCCCAGACTGAATCTATGTTAAAAAAGCAGAATTCAGCTGATCTTTACAGCCAGAATCTCAGGGCTTTGATGATGTTTTGTTTTTAACACAAAAGGGTCCAGCTGGGAGCAGTGGGAGCCCAGGGTGATGCTGCTCAGGTCAGAGGTGGGAATGAACATTCCTGCTGGGAGAGTTTGGCCAGTTCCAGGTCAAGCTGGAACTCAAACCATTTCTACTGGTGAGGAGAGGGGGATTTTCATCCCAGAAAAGCTCTGAGCAAAGCTCAGGTGGAGCTCTGTGGGAAGGGTTGGTCAAGGAGCACTCAGGGTATTCCACGATTCCATGACTTGGGGAGCAGAGAAAAAATCACTGCACACAAACTCCAGGAGAATTCACCCCAATCCCACGGAGCAGGGGCTGGGGAGCTCCTCCTCGGGGCTGTGAGCAGAGATTTCAACCCTTGGGAAACTCCTGAAGTTATCAAGGTGCTGCCTTCAGCCTCAGGGAGGAGGGAGGGAAGCCAGGCCTGCCAAAACCCTTCAGATCCTGGATTTTCCAGGGAAAAAAACCCAGGAGGGTTCCTACTGCAAATACTGAAGTGAGGAGCTGCCCAGCACCTCTGACTGGGTTTGTATCGGGGTGAGCAGACTGGCTGAACTGGGAGTAGCTGTTGGATCCTGGAGCCATTTCTTTGTCAAGTCACAAAGACCTCAAAAAGGCATCAGGTCCATCTCAGTGATCCCAAATTTCTCCTCTCTCCATCAGCAAAACGCATTAAATCCTGCTTTCCCAGCCAGAGCAGGAACTGGGAGGAGGAGTTACAGCAGCTCCTATATAAAAGCCACTGTGAGGAATGAACAAGAGCAGGGACTCAACTTTAGATTTGCTTCATTTCCGAACATAAATTGTGCTGTCAGCTCCAGAGGCCGAGTTACAGTCAGGAATAAACCCCTGGCAGTGGGACAACGATGAACTCACTTGTTTTCTTTTGAGCAAGATCCATCTGCAAATCATTTCACCTCCCAGCATTGTGCAGGAGCAGAGCTGGGCAGTGGGATGGGGGGGATGTGGGAAGGGGCAGCCTTGGCCAGCAGAAACCTGATCCCAGCTTTTCTGCTGGCTGTGGAGGAGGAGTGGGGAAGGATCTGCTCCGGGGAGAAGGGGATTCTCAAATTAAAGGCAGGAATGGGGAGAAAGGGCTTTTCTGCAGCTTCACATTCACAGGGAGAGGGGGTTTAGCTCCAGGATGAGCTTCTCCCTCTCCAAAACAAACCATCCCCTGGCCCATGTGAGAAGGTGCCACTGGTCATCATCCCAGTGCCTTGACCACAAATCCAAGGTCATTCCCAGCCCAGAACTGGGAGCTTTCCCAGTAACACCAGCTGGACATGATGCACCCGTCCAGAACACAGAGGGAAGTGGCCCAAGGAAGAATTCAGCTTTTAAACTCTGCTGACAAACAAAACTGTGCAGCTGCCAAAGCTTTACAAGCCTCTCCCACCCAATAAAACGCCATCCCCGTTTTTTTCCCAACCTGGGATAATGTTCTGTGTGTTTTCCAAAATATTTGTGGGTGCTGGAGCCCAGCAAGGCTGAAAACAAGGAAAGGGAGGGAGCTCTTGGGGCACTGAGGCTCTTCAGAAGCAGAGATCTCCCGGGCTGGGATTTGGGAGCACTTCATGTTCCTAATTCCAGTTCAGTTCAGTGGGATTTTCAGCAGTGCTGAGCTGCTGCTGAACAACCTTCTGTCAGTCTTTCCATTTCCATGTGTCCCAGAGACAGGACAGCTCCTGAGCACACTTTTATTCAAGGCAGATGGCTCCAGATGCTGCAGTTAATGCTTTTCTTGGAAAGGCCACAACTGGAAGCAGGAAAATTCTACTTTGTCTGTCTGGAGGTGATTTATTCCCTGCTCCTGCAGGGGATGGGAATCTCAGGGATGGGTTTGAGGGAAATGTGCTGCACTGATGGAAGCAAAACCTGAAACTGCTGTCCAGGGTAACAAACTCCCTGCTCATCTCCCTGAATTCCAGTGGGTTCTTTATTCCTGATTTTCCCTGTGTGGCTTTGGGCTATTCCAAGGCAAGCACCTCTCCAGCAGATCAGGACCTTGCTAATGAAAGAAATGAAACATGGCCAGGCTGATCCAGAGGGAATGTTCAGAAATAGCAATTCCACAGGCCTGAAGGAGCAGGAAAACCACAGCTCCCGCCTGGGGCCTTCAGCCCTCCCCTGGAGCAGCTTCCCCACTCCCCAGGTCACGGAGCAGCAAAGGAACCAGACAGAATTTCATTTAAACTCTTTCACATCTGCTGCAGGGTGTTTTTCCTAGGCAACAGTGTGGGAAGAGCCCAGTCTGGGATGAGGCTTGGTGACAAAAAGCAAACAGAAGCAATGACAACAAAATGTCCAGAGCTCCTGGCTCCCAAGGAACGGGAAACACAGCCTAAACCTTTCCGCTTGCAGCTCAGAAAACACAATGTTCTCCCTGTAAATCACTGCTTTCTTCCTTCATTCTAAAGGAATCTGCAAATCCAGGGAGGAAAAGCAGCACTGAGATCACAGAGAACCCTTTTCCCAGCACCTTCTGGGATGCACAGACAGGAATTGCACTCGGGGTGGGAAGGAGGAACCTGGGCACAAGGAAGCACAAAAAGGCCCATTTTATTCCAGGGTGAATTTTTTGGAGCTTCCAGCACATCCAGAACTGATCCCACCTCTGGATTTCTGCACAGGGATGGGATGAGCAGTTGGAGACTTGACGTTATGGAATGACAGGACCCAGGGAATGGCTTCAAACTGACAGAGGGCAGGGTGAGCTGGGAGATGGAGAAGGAATTCCTGCCTGGGAGGGTGGGAAGGGCTGGGATGGAATTCCCAGAGCAGCTGTGGCTGCCCCTGGGTCCCTGGAAGTGTCCAAGGCCAGCTTGGAGCAACCTGGTCGCATGGAAGGTGTCCCTGCCATGGCAGGGGTGGCACTGGATGGGCTGTAAATCCCCTCCAACCCAAATCATTCCATGATTTTCTCATAGCTGATGGATTTACTGACACAGTGGGAGCAGTTTGGTCCCATCCCTGCCCTGCCCACCACACAGAGCCCGTCCCTGCTGGAGGAAATGATCATCCTCAAGCTGGTATTACAAAATACAAATATTTTTTGGGCCAAGTGTCCCATCTCCAATCCCAGGCCCTGTCAAACACTGATACTCATCAAGGCCTGCATCCCATGGATGAGGATCAAAGGCCTCCCCTGCCTGCACCAGGAAACGCTGGACATTCCAAACATTCACACAAATGAAAAATCCCATCTGGAGGAACCAAGCAGTCGGAGCTGTTCCTCCCCCAGGGTCCCCCACCTGCCAATCTGCCTTGGGAACAAGGCCCCGAGTGTTCCAGGGAATGGCTGTGGCTCCACCCAGCCCTGCCCTTACTTGTAGACGTTGGTGTTGTATTTCCTCTCGCTGGGGAAGCCGAACATCCCGCAGACCACCCGGGAATTCTTCATGGTCCAGTGCCTGTCACAGATCTGCTTCCAGGTGCCCTCGTCCTTCACCTCCACGTAGCCCTCGGTGACAGGGACCCGCTTGCGGTAGGTGGCCAGGATGGCGCGGATCCGAATGTCCTCTACCTGGATGTTCATGTTCTGTGGGTGGGAAATAAATGGGAATGATGCTGGATTGGAGGGAAATGGGCTGTGAGCTTCCAGGTGGGATCACAGCCCAGTCGTGGTCAAGTTCTGTGGGTAGAAAATAAACGGGAATGATGCTGGATTGGTGTGGTGGTGTTTGAGAGACCCCAGGACGAGGGAAGAGATGAGGATCTTGATTCCATGTTTTGTTGCATCATGATTTCAGTGTTTACCCAAGAACTTCGGATCCCTCCCTGATAATTCCCTCCCAGGTGTGTCAGCCACCTCTCCTTTCCCCTCCGAGCACTGTCTGTCAATCCTGGAATTCCAGAATTGGCAGATCCAAAGGATGCCCTCTACCCCTGAGGGGCATTGGGCCATCCAGGTGTCCTTTGTGCCTTTGTCCCTCCCCTCCTGTCCCTGCTTGGTGGCTCCCTGCCCCTTCCCTGCCCCTCTCCCGGGGTTCAAAGGAGCAGCAACCACGGGCTCAGGGAGTTCTGTTGGAGCTGCTGCTGCATTCAGAGGCCTGTGGGCCAGAATAAAGCTCTGCATCCAAACCCTCCATCAGAACCGACTCCTTTCCTTCACCATCGCCTCAAAGCTTCTCTGCCAGAGGGAAACCTGAGGAGCAGCCCCTGTTATGGGGGGAAGCTCCATCCCAGCACCACCAGAGCTCCTGCAGGCCTGGCCTTGTCCCCACAGGCCCAGCTGCAGCACCCAGCCAGCCAAAAGTGTCTGTGGGGTGAAACACCACACACCCAGCCAGCCCAGAGTGTCTGTGGGGTGAAACACCACACACCCAGCCAGCCAAAAGTGTCTCTGAGGTGAAACACCACACACCCAGCCAGCCCAAAGTGTCTGTGGGGTGAAACACGACACACCCAGCCAGCCCAGAGTGTCTGTGGGGTGAAACACACACCCACAGCCAAAAGTGTCTGTGGGGTGAAACATCACAGTGCTGCTGTTTGGTTCAGCACCAAGGCCCAGACAAGCCAAGGCACGTCCTGTCCACAATATTGGTAAATATTCCAACAACTCTTAGAAGGCTGATTTATTATTTTATAATATATATTATATTAAAAGAAAATTATGTACTAAAACTATACTAAAGAAAGAGCAAGGAGACATCAGAAGACTAGAAAGGAATGAATAATAAAATCTTGCGACTGACCAGAGGGTCTGACACAGCTGGCTGTCATTGGCCATTAATTAAAAACAATTCACATGCAACCAATCAAAGATGCACCTGTTGGTAAGAAACCTCCAGACCACATTCCAAGCAATCAGATAATTATTGTTTACATTCCATTTCTGAGGTCTCTCAGCTTCTCAGGAGAAAAGACCTAGCGAAAGGATTTTCATAAAATATGTCAGTGACAGATTGGAAGAAAATTGGCTGTGAGCTTCCAGGTGAGATCACAGCCCAATTGTGGTCAAGTTCTGTGGGTAGAAAAAACAGGAATGATGCTGGATTGTAGGGAAATGGGTTTTGGAAATTCCAGGTGTCCCAGACCTGCTGTGGTCAGGCAGGGCAGAAAGGATGAGGTGCTGAGGAAGAGACAGGGCAGGGATAGATGAATATTTGGAATACATTCTTCCCGGAAAGGGGCTGGAATGGAATTCCCAGAGAAGCTGTGGCTGCCCCTGGGTCCCTGAAAGTGTCCAAGGCCAGGTTGGAGCAACCTGGGATAGTGGAAGGTGTCCCTGCCATGGCAGGGATGGAATGAGCTGATTTTTAAGCTCCCTTCCAACCCAAACCTTTCTGGGGTTTTATGAAACAAACCTTTCCACCTTGTGTAAATCCATCCTCTGGAAGAAGATTCTTTTTCTCATTAAAAAAAAAGCTCTAATTTATTTTGTAAGTAGCCCTATAACAAATCTGCTTTGTCACTTCAATTCCAAGCGCTGTTTTCACCTTAATTTAGCCCCCATTCCTGCAGAAATTACCCAAGCTCAGGTTTGTTAGGGCCAGGCTTGCTCAGAGAATCATTCATGGCGCAGGGAGGTGGGAGCCCGGCAGGGGAAGGACTTTGGGGTTTTCATCCAAAGCCATAATTTCGTGTGGAATCTGGGATTCCAATGTGCTGACAGCAGCATTTGTCTGGCTCCTCCTCCACAGCCTAGGACAGCGAATGAGTCATGGAAGGTGAATGGATTTCACATATGGCACCTACGTGAGGACACAGAGCAGCCCTGCATGACTCCGGGGGCAAATCCAGGCTGGAGGGGGCAAATTTCCCTGGAAAATATCCCTGAGTGTAAGACCTGAGGGCACAAAGCAGCCCTGCAGGGCCTCAGGGGCAAATCCTGGCTGGAGGGGGCAAATCCAGGCTGGAAAAGTTCCTTGAGGGCACAAACCAGACCTGGAGAGCTCCAGGGGCAAATCCTGCCTGGAAAAGATCCCTGAGGGCAAAAATCAGACCTGCAGGGCCACCGGGCAAATCCTCACTGGAGGAGGCAAATTCTGGATGGAAAAGATCCCTGAGGGCAAAAATCAGACCTGCAGGGCCACCGGGGCAAATCCTCGCTGGAGGAGGCAAATTCTGGATGGAAAAGATCCCTGAGGGCAAAAAACCAGATCTGCAAAACCACAGAGGCAGATCCTGGCTGGAGGGGGCAAATCTTGGCTGGGAAATATCCCTGAGGGCACAAACCAGACCTACAGGGCCCCAGGAGAAAATCCAGGCTGGGAAAGTTCCCTGAGGGCAAAAATCAGACCTGCAGGACTTCAGGGGCAAATCCTCACTGGAGGGGACAAATACCGGCTGGAATAGATCCCTGAGGGCACAAACCAGACCTGAAGAGCCACAGAGGCAAATCCTGGCTGGAAAATACCCCTGAGGACACCAACCAACCCTGCAAGGCCCCAGGGGCAAATCCTGAATGGAAAAGGTCACTGAGGGCAAAAATCGGACCTGCAGGGCCCCAGGGGCAAATCCTCACTGAAGGGGGCAAGTGCTGGATGGAAAATACCCCTGAGGGCACAAACCAACCCTGCAGGGCCCCAGGGGAAAATCCTGCCTGGAAAAGATTCCTGAGGGCAAAAACCAGCCCTGAAGTGCCACAGAAGGAAATGCTGGCTGGAAAATACTTGTGAGGCCACAAACCAGTCCTGCAGGACTTCAGGGGCAAATCCTGTCTGGAGGGGACAAATTCAGGCTGGACCAGATCCCTAAGGGCACAAACCAGACCTGCAGAACCTCAGGGGCAAATCCTGTCTGGGAAATGTCCATGAGGGCACAAACCAGACCTGCAGGGCCTCAGGAGCAACTCCAGGCTGGAAAATATCCCTGAAGGCAAAAATCAGCCCTACAGGGCCCCAGGGGCAAATCCTGGCAGGAAAAGATCCCTGAGGGCACAAACCAGACCTGCAGGACTTCAGGGGCAAATCCAGGGCACATCCAGGGAAAGATCCCTGAGGGAAAACCAGACCTGAAGAGCCACAGAAGCAAATCCAGGCTGGAAAAGTTCCCTAAGGGCAAAAGACAGCCCTGCGGAGCCTCAGAGGCAAATCCTGGCTGAAGGGGGCAAATCTTAGCTGGGAAATATCCCTGAGGGCACAAAGCAGCCCTGCAGGACTTCAGGGGCAAATCCTCACTGGAGGGGACAAATACCGGCTGGAATAGATCCCTGAGGGCACAAACCAGACCTGAAGAGCCACAGAGGCAAATCCTGGCTGGAAAATACCCCTGAGGACACCAACCAACCCTGCAAGGCCCCAGGGGCAAATCCTGAATGGAAAAGGTCACTGAGGGCAAAAATCGGACCTGCAGAGCCCCAGGGGCAAATCCTGGATGGAAAATATCCCTGAGGGTACAAACTAGCCCTGCAGGGGCAAATCCTGGCTCAAGGGGGCAAATCCTGGCTAGAAAAGATCCCTGAGGGTACAAAGCAGAGCCTCAGGAGAAACTCCTGGCTGGAAAATATCCCTGAAAGCAAAAAGCAGCCCTGCAGGTCTTCAGAGGCAAATCCTGTATGGAAAAAATCCCTGAGGGCAAAAATCAGACCTGAAGGGCCTTAGGGGCAAATCTTGGCTGGAGGGGGCAAATCCTGGCTGGAAAAGAGCCCTGAGGGCAAAAACCAGACCTGCAGGGCCCCAGAGGCAAATCCTCACTGAAGGGGGAAAATCCAGGCTGGAAAAGATCCCTGAGGGCAAATCCTGGCTGGAGGGGGGAAATCCTGGCTGGAAAATACCCACGAGGGCACAAAGCAGCCCTGCAGAGCCACAGAGGCAAATTCTGGCTGGAAAAGTTCCTCTGTGGCGAGTGGTTACAAAAGAGCTTCTGAAAAATGGACAAATTCCCTTCCAGGAGCCCTTTCCTTGTCAAATATGTGCAAACCCACGTGGTGCCGCTCGGGGTTACATCAGAACTGAGGAATCCTCGGATTCAGCCACTCGGAAAAGAAAAATTGCCCGGAGCTTTAAAGGGCCACGGGCCTCTGGTCAGGGCTTGCAGGGAGATTGGAGCAGAACCTGCTGGGTCCTGCAGATTCTGTGCCTCATTCTCCACATGCTTCCACCGGTGCTGATACAACAAACAGAGCCCAGGGAAGGGCAAAGAAAGAGGAAATGGGTCAGGGAGTGGGGCAAGGAATGGCGTTGGCATCTCCTCCTCATCCTCAGCTCTGCCCACACCACCTTGGACAACACACTTCAGGCTTCCCCCTTCCTTTTCCTTATTCCTCCCCCACCTTTCTGTCATTTATTTGTCCACATTTACCACCCAGTTTTGCAAATCACTGACTCCCCCTCTCCCCCTCAGCTACAAGAATTCAATGCTCCAAAATCTGAGCTGGAGCATCCCTCAACCCCTGGAAACAGGATTTAACCAAAAGTGCTACTCACATAGGGCTCATAGGCTGGGCTCCAGTTTTGAAAGCTCTTGTAGCCCTCAAGAATTAAAAATAACCCCTGTGATACCTAAATTTGTTACATCTGAGGCAATTTCAGGTGTTCCAAGGGTCTGATGTAAGAGGGGATTTGAAACCTCTCCAGTGGAACCCAAGAAATCCAT